TATAGATAGATAGATAGATAGATAGATAGATAGATAGATAGATAGATAGATAGATAGATAGATAGATAGATAGATAGATAGATAGATAGATAGATAGATAGATAGATAGATAAATTGATGTAGCCGAATGAATCTTTCTCGTGCTTTCTATGGCCCGGAGTCTTGTAGTGTTGTACAGGTGTGTGCAGGCGATAGTGGCTGATTGATCGTAGCACTGATTGCGTCGTAATGCCGCCGCCAGTGGCCATAGGCGAAGGACGACAACCTTGGGCAGGTGTTGTGCACCTCAATAAACCTGAACGTCTCGTCTGCTCTCTGTCGCGCTGCGCGCCGGTACAGTGACGCTTTTGCGACGTAGGACGACACTGGTTGTGTAGCAGCGGGACGCCCGGACATGAACGTAGCGACAGCGACGCAAGACGCCGGGGATGACGCATCGTTGACGCCCGAATATTTGTACGTAGCGGCAGAAGCCGTGCTCGACGCCATCTTTAACGACGTCGACTCGGACGTCGACAGCGGCAACGAACGTGACAGTGACGGTGGCGCTTCTAACGGTCCCGTGAACAGGAGCGCTGTGCTGCCGCCTTGTACAGACACTGATCCTTCACGATCGTCGTCAACCTTTAAGTCGACGCCATCGCTGTCGTCAGCCGGTACAACGCGGGACACGACGAGCTCGGGATGTAGTAGCAATAGCGTTGGTAAGCTGACCTGCATATACGCCGCTAAACGCCACAGCTGTGCACGAATCTAATCCAAAAACATATAGCCGTCTGCAGATGCGGTTTACGTTTACCAGTTGCTGAGAAATATCATAAAGTGTCGTATTCGACCTTTTATAAATCGGTTCTGTTATGATATATGATCTGTCGGCTAGGCGGGTTGGGGCAAACAAGTCCCAATATGACTGTTCCTATTCTCTGTACGAGAGACTATTCCCTTACTGAGAAGATATTTTGTGAAACAGAAGGTAACTTAATATTAAATATGATGGAATTTGTATTAATTATATCTAATAAATTTAACTAATTAATATTAATCACGATGAAGCAATAATAGACTTACATTTATGCAGAAGATAAATCATCCCTAGCGCAAGGCAACGAATATCGCGGTCTCTTACGTCACTGCAAGCAACCAATCGCACGCGACTGCACCAGTAGCCCTGTTTGGGAAATTAACGTCCAATGTGTACATTCCAAAACACGTAGACACCCAGACGTACCATCCAAATTCATGTTCTGGGCAGAAACCATTGAACGAACTCGACTGGAACGAATGATTTGCTGATATTTATGACAATTGAATAAATGATCTAAAATGGAAATTATTATTGCAAACATTTCAATGACCAACTGCGGTCAGGGACAGATGCAAAAACCGGTCAATATAGGGCCAGGTTTCACCAAAATGGCCTCCGTGAATTATGTACGTAGCTGAAACTTCACATTTGTCGTAATATTGATTTAAACGTATATATAATATATATATGTAATAGATAATATGCATTTTGATGGAAGCAAGCATGCCCGAAGGATTAATCTCACCATAGTGGCGAAAGATGTTCCTCGCAATAAAAGTTGTCGTCTATATTTAAAATTTCTTCTGAAATAAACATCAATCACTCACTTTCTTCTCCCCCACGCACACGCACTCTTTCTCTCTTTCTCTCTCTCTCTGTCTCTCTTTCGTTCTCGTTCTCTCTCTCTCTCTCTCTCTCTCTCTCTCTGTCTCTCTTTCTCTCGCTCTCTTTCTCTCTCTTTCTGTCTCTCTCTTTCTCTCTCGTTCTCTCTCGCTCTCTTTCTCTTTCTCTCTGTCTCACTCTCGCTAGTCGACACTCATTGTAATGCGATACCCAACAGCAGTAGATATATATATATGTATATATCGATAACGTCCTGTATACATTATTTTGTCGTGTTCAAACTTGTATGATTATAGCCGCGGGCGAGACTTCCTGGTTGAAGTCGCTTCATTCGCAATGCGTCGCGCTGACAGTTGAATATCAGACACAAACGCATGATCACCGACGCGCTCGCTGATGACAGAGGTTGTTTGTCACCCGGGCGCTACAAACCGATAATTCAGGCGTGCGTGACACGATACAAATTATCCGCACAAACTGTCGCGTCTTCTCCGCGCGAAACCAGGAAGTGTCGATATAGTCGCTCTTGCTAGTAGCAGTGGTATAACGCGACACGAAAACACGCTGTTTACTTGTGGAGATGGCGTCACTGCATGCACGAGCTCACTAGCGCCAACAGACTGCCTGGCGGCCGTTCGGCTGCATTCGCGAACAGTTTCACGCGCATTTTGTTATTTAATTGTGCGCATTCTTTCTTTTCGACGTTCACGCAAGTGTGTAACTCTTTTGATTCGGCGCCTAACGACGCGCGAAAAATATTCCGAACATTCGTTTCAAGGCGTCGTCTGTCTCGCGGGCAAATACTTATCCCTCGCGTCATAAATTTTGCGCGCGCGCAAAGCTGGCGGGGTTGAGAGAATAGTAAATCTATGTTGTGCGCGCTTATCTCTCTCTCTCTCTATCTCTCCCCCCTTTCTCTCTAGCTATCTGTCTCTCTTTTTTTATCTCTTTCTCTATCTATCTATCTATTTACACACACATATATATATATATATATATATATATATATATACTATCATAGTGCATATAATATAGAGCATTTGTGGTAGAACGAAAACATGAAACTTGCTCTACTACATATTATGACGATGAAAGATGTATTCGCCACACATATTTTTTCAAAAGCAAGCAATGCACCTATTGAGTGAATGACTGTCTTGCATTTGTCTCGCGCATACACTAATTATGCGAGTTGAATGACTTGCGAAACCATCCATTATACTTTGTACACGCTCAACTGACGGTGTCGTTAGTCTTTGCAAGCAACAATGCTGTACAATTGAAAGCGCATACGACATGAGTTTTCCGGATTTACAATATCACAGAACTCACATAACTGGATAAGTAGAATATATTCACTTCATGATCGTAATGTATTGTTTAATTGGGAGCGTAATTAATGCATTATTAATTAATAATCGTCTGAAGCACTGTCTCACCATATGAAGACAACTGGGTTAAGTCGCGCAGAGAACAGACGGGAACGACAGACTTAACGGAGTTTCTAAACCACTTATCGTTGTTAAGCGCTACGTGAAGTTGACCTAGAAATCATCTACACGTCTCACACGACTGCCGCCCCACCAATGCTCAAGTTGTATTCCTATCATCCCCTTACCGTCATCCCGCCTATTGTGCGTCCTTTGTGGCATCTAAGCAGATGTACACATATCGCATTGATACCGACTTTGGCGTCCACCTTCTGCCAAGACGAGGTGCGCTCGTCGCATCACGGCGTTTTGTGTGGCCGATAATCCAATGCTTTCAACAAAGTAGATAATTCACCTTGAATAATACTCATACTAACCAGCAAACAAGATAGGAGGCTTAACCTACATTCGGTGAAAAATTTAAATCCACTTCCCCGTGTCAAAAAGTCGGCCTTATCTAGAATTTGATTGAAGCATAAGACGATAAGAGAGTTGCATGTAGGACGCAGGACGCAGTACAGCCGGAAGGAAAGAGGAAATGAAACTGTGAATAGCGTATAGATGCAGGGAAAGATAGAGGAAACAGACATCTGTGTGCTATGCGTGCGTGCGTGTGTGCGCGCGCGTGTCCGTGCGTGCTCGCGTGTGTATACGTGCGAGTGTGTGTGCGCGTGCGCGCGCTTATAGTTATGGTTTCATGATATAATTACCATCACCTACATTTTTACTCATGTTATCTCGTACCATTCGTGTTGCACACGATCCGCTGGTGTGAGGTTTCTGAAACATTCATTGTAGTGGCATTTTTGAATATACAACCACTTTTCACTATGTACGCACTTAGAAACAACACAGCGTTAATTTGCAGTGTCTTATTGTGAGACGCAGATGGCGGCATTGTGACACGTGAAAGCGAGACGCGTGCCTTTGTTGTGGTACGACGATTGTTGCTCTGATAGCTGAGCAATCTGTAAGTCATTTGCTAAAGAAAAATATAACAAACGAGGCGCTATCCGATGAATAGACTACTCGGTGACGCACGTGACAACGTTCCCCAGAAACTAGCTATCTAAACAAATTGTATTCACGTTGAATAAACTAAAATCAGCCTATACGCTGGTGGTATTACATGTAATGTATTTCCTCACTGCCCACCCAATCTATCGAGCTGCACGATGTTCTCTACATGGTCTCATCACAGTGCTATATATGTGTCTCACTAGTTGCTAGTGACTAACGAGTTGCGAGTTGCGAGTTGTTGGTGTACTAGCGAATACGATATTCTCTAGTTATTACAGCTAAACACCCGACCAGTAATACCTGTTCTTAAAGTTAAAGGATTTAGCCAATTTCGCGCTGATAACTCTTAAAGCTAAAGGAATGTGTTTTTCTACGCATTGCGGACTAGCACAGTAGTATGCCTGCACGATATCGTATTATCCGACACCAGAGAACAAGAAGAGTTCGCGGCGGTAACAATGCCAGATACTGTTTAAGTAAAATGGCCCCGCATAACATTTTAATTGCTACGCTACGCGAAGATGGGTCATATTCATTTTCATTCCGGCCATTATAGTCTTTGTTTTTATAGGTACATTACAATTAAAATGATCAGCGCGCAATATTGTATCGCACAACATATATAGTTGCGCAACCTCGTTTCATCTGTTGACACTGTTTGCTATCTCTCGTTGTAGGTTATAGCCAGGGAAGTACGGACAACCTGAAAACAATAGCTAGTGATTCTGGTAGAGGACAGAGTGTAGAGAGCTGCACAAAGAAGGACGCTGTACATGGCTTCACAGGTGAGAAACACTATACGACAGGTTAGCGATCTGATGACAGACCATGATTGCGTTATCACTGCGTTTCATTAAATTCCGATCGTCCGCCATTTTAACTTGTGTGCGACACGTAACAGTGCGCTAAAATATACTGATCATCGTCGAAGATAATTGCGTAATGATTAGTAAAACTATGAAGTAATCGTGACGTCAGAATGGCGTTCATCCGTACGGATTTCGGCTCGCGATTGCCACGTCGGCACGGTGTGCATATAAGAGTACGTGTTTGTCCGCAGGCCATCCGTCACGGAGCGCGGCCGGGAGCCCCGTCGGCATCCCCAGCGCCACCTGTAGTACAACACAGACACTTAGCACACAGTTCAAGAGCGAGCTGACGTCACTTAAACAACAGGTGACGTGTTCACAACGTGCGCCCGCCGATTTCATTTAATGAATGTTATTGATCTATCACGTACACGATTATATATATATTGGTGTACAGCAAATGCTAGTTATCGTAAGAACGGAGAATCCTGTATAGGTGGCGTAATTGCATGGACACCTCATATCTTCCAACATATAAGGTTCCGAATAGTATTTTGTTGCCGTTACAATATTTGCAATTTATTCACAGATCGATTTTTTGAGAACTGAGCTGAGTAAATCGAAAGACGTTATAATGCAGCTGCAAAACAAAGAAGAATTATTAGTCACAAGGTATGCGACGTTGTCATAGCAACCATTCAAATTCGATCGAATCCCGAAATCGGCAGTGGTTTAAAAAATTAATACAAACTTTAATGAAACATAACGATAAGGTTTCTGACTAAAAGATAATACTATTTAAAAGATATTCAACAAAATAAGTAGACGTTTCGTTTACGTGTGCAGACTGACGGACCAAGCTAGGAAGAGGGTACTTGATGAAAGCAAGGGCGACACGAAGATCGAAGTACCATCTCACCTTATACGCCGCTACAGCAGTCTATATTTGCAGGTGGGTGAAAGCAGCTTTCGGCCAGACCATCATTAACTATTAAAGATATATTGTGTTTATAATATATTATGTAGCAGGAAATCTTGCAACAGTTATATATAATAGTCGTATATTGCATCATAATAAATTATATATATATATATATTTATTTATTAATTAATCGTCAACATTGTAATTATGCAATATAACTATTTCTAGAGACAGATATATGCGTTCAATCTATTAAATGTAGACAGCTATAGAACGAGCTAGCCATGATTTCAAATGATTGGAGATACTGAGGGCATCATCTGTGCACCAGTATTACAGACTAATACATAAGCTACGCGTAACTGTATTATTTACTGCATCGAGCGTTGTGAAAGATTAAGCTTGTATAATTATGGTGACACAAGTACCGTGTAGAACTTAGGGAGCGAGACGTCACATATGTGAGACGACGTTATGCAGCGTTTTGATAGCACGGACCTACAGAAGTTACACGAACTTGCAATAATGATAATGAATATCTAATGGGATTTCAATCGAATTCACATATCGATTTCCGATCAATTTGTTGTTCAGATAATAGATATTCTGTTAACTATTTCGCTAAGGAACGCGTGTGTTTTTGTGTGAGCACAGAATCGGGTGAGTGCCCTTCACGCCCTTGACGCTCTACCAGAGATGGACGAGTCCGATGATCTGAAAACCAAGCTCGTCTTCTCCGTTATCGTGGTGAGTAAGATCACGCGTACTGTACCGCTAGGTGGCGCTCTGAGCTGCTCGAGGGTTTTATTTCACGTGTTTCTTAGCTATGCGCTCCATATAGGTGGTATAAAACAGTAGAGGGCATCCATAGGCAGCAGGCCTGAAAAAAGCATCGAACAGAAATTAATAAAAAATTCTCAGAGTGTTTTATCGCATACACAAAATACACTTTAATCATGCTAAATAACCACAGGTTCAAGCTCTATACTCCGCTCAAAACCTTTGCCAGCTAAATAATGCCCATTTATACAAAGTAGTCGGATCCCGTTTCAAACACAAAAATGGCCAACCGGTCACCATGGAACTGCTACGCCACTTGACGGAATGTCACAGCTACACAACAAGACCAATCTTACTCCTATAGTCCTTGTGCCTAGACGTCCACAAGGCACCTACCTTGCGTGTATAATGAAAATTAGTGCTCTCTAGTGCCGAATTTTATCTAACAAAATTCAAAAAGGTATTTTCCAGTGACGAGATAGTGCAACATTGGTGAACAATTTGCGGAGGGTTACTGTTGTATGCCCCCTATATAAGCGGTTTACATGATTCGCTCAAACGTGAGCGAAGTTTAACTTCGGAAATATGATTGGTGTGCGTCATCGTGACGTCACTGTCAGCGCTGACATCTCGTCGTTTTTCCCTGTAGCTTTCGTTTAGGTCAGTGCGTGGAACGATAGAGAAGAAGAAGGCCGCGTTGCGACAAATACTCGGCCTGCCAGCCAACAGTCCGAAGCCCTCGCACGACACCGCGATGACAGAGATGCTGGAAAGCATCGGCTTCTACATGCGCAAGACCGTCGATAAGTATGACGTCCGACCAAACGTACAGGTACGCCATCTAGCGACAAAGTTCGTCATCATTATTACGGTAACAATGACGTTCTTCCGACATAAACCCCGGCCGCATAACTGTAATGATCGAATATTTCCAAATGGGCAAACAGAAGACGAAAGCAGAATCTCAGAGCAAGCATTTGGCTCCAAGGAAAAATCCCCATGTTTTAACACCAGGCGTTTTTTTACTATTACTTACATTAAAAGACATCGAATTATCGTCCAATTTAATCAATGACAATTCCTGAATAATTCCCGCGCTTTCGATCATTATCACGCGCATATATCCCACCACACCCGGCCGCGCGCGCCATCTATTGGCCACTATTGACGGCGTCTGCTGTTGTAGGAGGTCTGCTCGCAACTGTACGCAACCCTGTACGACTTCCCGAGCCTGCCGACGTGCGAGAGTCTGACGTCGTACATAGAGGAGTGCGTCGGCATCGCATGGGCGCTCTCCAACCAGATACCAGCATTCTCCATCGAGTACGAATCGTCGGTGTTTACTCCAGAGCTACACGAACGGTAGGTGCCCGAGGCGGAGGAAAAGCCCCGACCTGCGGCTCTCGCTGCCATATACACACACACACGTGCGGGTGCACGCACGCAACGAACGCACACACATAAGAATGCACTCACACAGACACGCACGCACGCATACAGGCACGCACGCACGCACGAACGCACGCACGCACGCACGCACGCACGCACG